TTTCCGTTGAAAACGTTGTTCAGATTATATTTTTTATGGGTTGCTTGATTCAAGAGTTGTGAATTTTCAAAGTACGTGATGTCTTGGTAAATCCAAACACAATTTATTTTAAGATTTCTCCTAACAATCTGTTTGGCATTCAAGTCAGAACTCTCTTGGAATTCCTTTGAAGTTCTTTAGGAATTATTCTCAGATTCAATTGTAATCCTAATTTTGACATTTTTCTACTAGAATCTTCTTGAACATATTCTCATGATTCCCATGGATTTGTTGTTTGAATTGCCTTGAAGTTCCTGTCAGAATTATCGTGAAGTAATCCTCAAACATCCCTTTCAAATTTCCTATGTAATCATTTTGAATTTTCATTAAAGATTTCTTTGAATCCTTTACATAATTTCCATGGAATTCTACTCAGAACTACCTTGGGATTCTTCTTAAGTTTAGCATGCAATCTGGCGTTCCCGAGAACTACCTTGAAAGCAGTACCTTTCACATATTCTACACAGAATTCACTTGGAATGAGTTCCTTAGAAATTCAAATCAAATTCCATGAGCGTTGAACATTTTGCATGATTCGATTTTTTTTTAAATTAGTGGTCTTGGAAAATGTTCAATGCCCAACATCAGGAATAATTTATTTCAGATTCTTGAAAATGTCTCCAAGTATATTTATTTTCAAGACCTAAATTTAAAAAAAACTCAGATTTAAAATCTGTAAATAATCTCAATGTTGCAGAACCTGGAAAAGGAATACTGAATCCTCAAATTGATTTGATACTGAAGATAAATCTGGCCTGGGCAAGTGTTTCCTTGCCGGAACATCCCGGGAAACCCGATTAATTTTCCAAAAATCACGTTTTACTATTCCCAGGAATTCGTTCCAATTTCCCAGGAAACAATTTTAGAAGTATTTTTGGATAAAAAATATAAGAACTTTCCCAGAACAAACTAAACGAATAAGGAGAAAGCTTTCAGAAACGTCCAAAGTCTAAAGATCTTTTAAAGCTAATCGGAAGAATGCTCTAGCCAAAAGGACTTCTGGGAGAAGCTTCCATAGAAATAAGATGACTATTACTAGGAAAATTGGATGAGTCTTCTGAGAAAATTCGGTAATATCTTCTATGTAAAAAAAAAAAAACTCCCGACGGTCCTTAATCGAAAAAATAATCCAGAAGATGTCGGAAGAAAAATTGTTGGCAGCTCGGGAAAAACCTCACCCAATGCAGTAAGTGCCACGGATAGGGTCACGGGACAAAATACATGCTACATACCAGCTAAATGCATGAATTGTGGTGATTCCTCTCACGCAAAGGACGACTATCCTGTGAAGGAAGATCCAAAGAAATACATCCAATTTTTGGGAATGGAAGACTCGCTAATCGATCCTGCAATCTTGTTCTAAGTACAGGAAACGCTGCACTACGATCAGCTACTAATATCTGCTCAGTAAGGAACAAATTCTACATTCGTACCCGAAGGTATCAATTTCCTCATCTATACCTGCCTACGGCTAAAAAATCTGTCGAAACAAAATGTGGACACCTTACGTTTATAGCTGCATATTTACTATCCCAATGCGTAGGCCAGCAAAAGAATTTTCTCAAGGGTGACCTTCAGAAACTTACCCGTCATAGGTCTAAATTCTTCATTATTGGTGATTTTAATGCAAAACACCGCTCTCAACAGCTCTACTTTCAATTACCATAGAGCTGATTGGGAGCAAAATCGAACATTTAAGGAATATAGTTCCGATCCAAACATTCCTGTGCAAATCAAAGATGATGTTAATTCTGCTCTTGAACCGCTGACTTCTTCGATAGTTGAAGTAAGAACTGCCCTAGTGCCAAAATGCGAGGTTAAATTCGATTCAATTATAATAGACGACGATATTCAGCTCTTGATCCGTCTGAAAAATGTCCGTAGGAGGCAATCTCAAAGAACACACAAATTAAAAGGTGATTATCTGCCCTGTGGAACAAAACAAATAGCTTTTTATGGCCATAAAGTTTTCGAAAAATCATTTGCAAGCCTATTCCAGCCCTTAAGAAAGAAGGTAAAATTTTGATCATAAATTCAGGAAAAGCTCAGAAACGTGCTAAACATATTTTCAGTTTGGGTCCTACTAGTCCTATTGAGAATCAGGTTGCTCGGGATTATCTGAATATTTTCTCTAGGGAAAATATGTTTGATGATTCCTGGGGGACTGATTTGGACGAAGTAAGATGCCCGAAAATCCTTACATAAAAAATAACCCCCTGATTTGCTCTATCTCACTGAAACATATAGGAGTTGTACAACTTCAAAAATACGAAACAGAAATCGTAAATCGCCATCGCCATCGCCATCAACACCATCATCACCATCATCAAATTTGACATCTCTGTCAAGCAGCTGATCACTTTACACATTTCAATGATCCAAAAAAGATGCGTATACGCGTTTTGGAGCCTCCATTCAAATTGTTTAGGTATCGTCAATGAATATTTCATTCAGATGCAACATTTTAGTCCCGTAGCGAATACCGAAATGGTGAGTTTAATGGCAACCCGAGCAAAGATGTATAGCAAATTGATAACAAGTTCTAATAACCGGGCGTCAAATTATCAGCTTAAATTGACAAAATCGATGCAACGAAGAGACTGCTCGCTTTCTTTTTCTGTTGAAGTTGAACAGCGTCGAAAGTCGCAGCATTTTAGTCCACAGACTAATTTTCAGTCATTTGCTTCTCTTTCTCCCGTCACTTCATTGGTCATTGGTTATCGGCGGACGAGTGAAAAAGCGTGTAATCTTGATAGTTTTGCCTTTCATGAAACACATGAACCCAAGGGGTAAGTAACTCAGCACATTGTGCCGAAATCAGCTTGGGCACTTCCATCGTAATACCTTCGGCACAATCTCGTAGGCATTAGGCTGTTGTAAATTAAATGGGAGCACTGCTGGATAACTGCCATTGAAGTTGTTCACAACACTACGTGCTATTTCAGGAACGTCCTCAGATTGAATATACCAGAGGAACTCAGACCGGCAGTTCACTTATAAATCTAAATACGAAATGTAGGTTCTAGAGTGGGCTCAAGAGAAAGAGGCAGTTATTCAGCTTTTCGACCCTTAATTCAAACAATGATGCAACTCACACAAAACAAGCTACAAAAGTCATATTCATCATCCTCTATACAACGGCAAACCGACATGAATGACCATACAAATTGCCACGAAATTTCTGCTCAAATCACACTACCGACATCTGTCTCCGTGTTCGCGGAAAACGTTGATCTAAGCACGAACACGAGTGCAAAATGTATGAGTTGGTTCGTGTCTGCTATTCTGAACAAGGACTTTTCCTGTATCCTATGAACATAAAACACCAACACCCGCCACTTCCCCCGTCATACTCAATACGATTTGTCCTTGTCCAAAACATTCAAGGTGTCAGAAATACCGGGTTGCCGGGATGGATATTTTACAAACAATTGCAGCTTTCCCTATGACCGACTCAATCGGTACACGTGCGGCACATTGACAAACAATATGACCCCGGATTGGTGTGTGGAGTGACCTACCCCTTGCATGAACCGCAGTTTTATAACGTATATGACGGGAAATGAAAATATATATTAAAAGAATTTCTCATGTGAAAACACATGAAGATTACACGTAAAGTCTGGAACGCGCAAAAATTGGTCCACGATCCACTTTCACCTTAAGAGAAAAGTTCGAGAATTCCTTCAAAATATTTTTTCTTAAAATATCAAATCCGTTATTTCTAATCCAAAATAGGCCCAAATCATGTTGTTCCATTACTAAGTAAGCCATATTTTAGTTTTAGCATTTTTTGGGAGTTTGAGATTTAAACCCTTACGATGATAACTGAAACATGATTAGCGATGTAGAGCACAATTATTTTTATCTTTCATGCAGATAATATTTTGCGTTTTGAACAAGCCTTGCATCCTTCAAACAAATAGGGGAAATGGCTCTAATGTTGGCCTATGGATCTAAGATTGGGCCCATCGCTAAAAATCTGCAATTTATCAATGTTATCTCGATGAACGCGTCATTGGGACGGTACTAATGGATATTTTTGTTCGCTTTTGAAAATTTAGTCGATTTCTAAACTTATATATGGGCCCAAATTAGGGTCATTTAGGTCGACATTACATCCATTTCCCCTAGTACGGTTTTTTTTTTTTACAGGATAACAACTGATAACAAAATCAGTCAAGGTTGATAAGTAAATTAATAATGCGATAACAACTGAAAACAAAATGATATCGGGATTAACAAAGCTAATTATCTAGATGAAATCAGTCTGAAATTTTACTCTAATCGGGTTAACAGTGTCCTCTATCTAGGATTCGCAACCAGAGCGGTATGACGGAGCTGCACGTTCCATTCACTAATTGCTCGCAGATTACCGTTGCGATTCGGACCGGTTGTTGGAGGGAGAAGAAACATCAAGGCTCATCAACCAGCATCGGCACAGCAGGTGCTGCTGACAGGCAAATGTCAATGAATGATAAATATTGAATGGAAAGTATGAATGGTCACGCTAGCGCTAATTTGACTCCGGGTGCGGCTGACGATCCATTCTCCGGTGCTCATCGAAGCGCAAACATGACACACATGACTGATTACGCGAGAAATGGGATGAAAATTACGTCGTACCGTAGAATATATAACCACAAGTTAAAGACCTCCCGGTCAGATGGAAATCCATTTATCCAAATTAACCGGACAGTAGTGGTAGATAATAATTCCTAGTACTAGTAGCTCTTTTCGCCCTGTAATGGCCTTTTTCTACGAAACGGAACTGCCACACAAAAAACACTTACACGAAATGGGTTCTTTTTTGTGCTCTCCGTCTCTGTCGATCCACTTGGTACAGAGTAGCCCGGAGCCGAGCTACAAACGGGAAATCTTGGAACCACTTTTCTTCATCTACGCCACTGAATGACTGCGAGGCAAAAAAAAAAGAAATTCGTCTGTTACAGTTAGCGCGTTTCCCACCACCACCACCCACTCGGGAGTGTTTTTCAATGTTTCTCTCGGAAAAAAAGGGGATTTGTTCACACACATGAGAGCAAAAAAAAAGGATCGGAAAGAAATTTCCTGAACAGGCAGACATGAAAAAGAAGAGAAAGAAAAAATTGTTGATGAAAATAGTTTACTCCTCATCAAAAGTTCGCTTTTCGCGTGGAGGATTTCGAGACTGGGACGCAGCAAGAGGTTGTTTTGTTGTTTTGTGAGTTCTTTTCAGTTTGAGTGGATCTTGACGATTTCCTGTCGTTTCTTTCAGACGAAAGGTGTTGTTCAGTCGATATAATGGCCTGTTGCTGGCAGAAAGTCAGTCAGTAACGACGAGACGGGTTCGATTCCACACACTCGGAAACACAACAAGCAAGCAAACAGTCCCACCGCCCCACCGTGCAGTGCCTCGAGAAAGCACCAAGGAAGAACAAACCAAACCAATTGCTCAGGGCAGTTTACAAAACGACGTTAAACCTAATTGTAGACCCCTCGGGTCATCGCCTCCCGATTCCGGGTGTGCCACTTGCACGTCAAAATCCGCACGTAGGTCCTCCGAAATGAGGCATTACACAACGCGTAGCACACCGGATTGATGGTCGAGTTGATGTAGCACAAGGCGTAGAAAAAGTCCCACAATTCCTGCGGTATGCACCGGGTACAGGCCGTCAACGGTTTCAGCAGCACCAGAATGTTGTACGGAGTCCACGTGATGATAAAGCTCAGCAAAATGGCCGACAGTGTTTTGGCGGCCTTCGTCTCCTGACGCTTTTCCTGAGATTTCTTTTTCTTCTTGACCTGCCGCGCCGTTTGCAGCATGTTCGCCTGATGGATCTGCTGCTGCTTGGACAGCGGCTTCGGAATGATTTTGGTCGTCAGCGGAAGCCGGATGTCCGTCGTGGCCGTCGATTGTCTCCGCCCCACCGGAATGATGTAATCTGAGTCTCGTGAGGGAAGCGGTCGCCTAGGTGGAACCGTCATCGACATGGGCACGTCGTCCTGAATCATCTTGATCGAGGGCGCCCGCTCGTCACCGGATCCCCCCTCCGGTGGCAAACGTATCAGAATCGTATATACAGAGTCCTGGCTCACCGAGCGGGAGCCCAGGCGGTTGCTATTCGGTAGTGAGCGTGAGTCTCTTGGTCCATGCATGTCCTGCAGGTGGGACATCGGGGGCAACGTCGGTCGCATCGGCGTCGGCGAAATGTCCGGTATCATACTGACCACGTTGCCCCGGCCCGTGGTCCCGTAGGGATCGCGGATGACGTTCAATGATGTGCATCTAGAGAGATAGGATCCATTAGTATTATTTTCAAGTCCTAGTGGGAATCAGCGGGACATCTACCAACAAAACAATGAAACTACACCCAAACAACAGTGAAACGGAACGAAAAAAATAAAAAATAAATAAGAATCCAAATGTCACACTGATCATTTCCGAATTAAGTAAGAAGCAAGTTTCGTCCCGTTGGGGGGCACGGGTGGTCTACCTGGTAACTGAGCTTGGTAAGGGAGTTTCTATGGATACAGGTGTTGCATACCCTAGATCCGAAGGCTCCTCGGCGTCGTACCCGTAGTCGTCGGAATCCTCCCGGCCCGAGTGCCACCACGCGATGCACCACTCCTTGATGCCGCCGAAGAACGTGGCCGGTTTTTTCGGTAGGCCGTTGGTGGTGATCTGGAAAGAATGAAAATACCTGCAGGTTAATTTACATCCGAACCAAATTGGCTCTGTAGCGGGCAGCGTTGCCAACATTCCAGTTTAAACTGGATTCTTTCAGTTTTTTGGAAGCATCCAGTCAAACAGTTAAAGATTGAAATATTTCAGTTTTGTCCAGTTTTGACGTAGGACTACGTCTGTGATTTCTATATGGGGGTACACTTTGTGAAAACCGAAAATGGAACATGTAATAAAATTATGAAAGATTTAGAACATTAATAACTCAGCTGCCCCTGGATCAATTTCAAAATTTTTATCACCAATCGATCAGAAATATTTCTACGCATCAATATAAATGTTTTCGACTGATGATTTGCAACAAGAAACTATTGAAAAGGTTGTCATGTCAAGCATTATCCCATGCACAAATAAAAAGTAATCATTTTATCATGAAAAAAAACCGTTCTTCCTAAGCCCAGTCGTCATAGCCGAGTACCACTTGGTTGCACATCATCCTGCTTTAACCTGAAAAGATATAAAAGAGCGCTGCTGTCTAGCCTCAACTCATTGTCGCTTCGGAAGGCGTGGTGAGCAGGCAGCAGAAGCATCAATAGTCAGTTATTTTGATCGGTTCTCTTCATCAACTTTCTCTTTGAAAAAATTACTACAAATTTGGCACGCCTACAATTCAAATTCGGAAAGAGTTAAGATAAAAGATGATCCATCAATTAAACGAACTAAATGCTCTTCTTATTTCTTACATCCACTAGCGGTCCTACGTCAAGCTTCCGTTCGTGACCCTAGGGACAAACCATTTTAATTTTTCAATATTAAAAGCAAAATAATTTGAAGATTGATTACCATACAGAACGATTCAGATGCTTACACTTTAAACTTTTATATTGACATTGAAATTTGGAAATGTTATATATATGAACAGTAGACTGATGCAAAATTTGAAATTTTTGCTCCACAGTGTTCAAACGGTTTCAAATCGGGTCCTGATTAGCCTCCGAAAGTTTAAACTCATTTGATAAGAAACTGACTTGGCACAAACCATTTGAAGTTTATATGGAAATTACTATGGGAAAACAAAATTTTTTGTTCATTGTCTTCTAGCCTTTTTACATATTGTACTGGTAACAAATTCTATTGCTATTCTTATTGGAATTTTTATCAGCTACAACTTTGCAGAAAATCGTTTTTCAGCCAAACGTCAAATTAAATAGTTATTAATTGTTAAGAGATTGATAATCTTTTGGCAAGATTAAGCAATTTAGCTTTAAGCTTAAGCTTTAAGCTGTTCTACGCGCCATAAACACCAATGTTGCCTGCTGAACAGTTGATTGAGCATCATCATAAGACATCAGTGACTTGAATCATTAATAATTTTTGTTCCTTACATTTGATCGAAAAGTAGCCTTCAACAAAGTAGTAGCTGAGAAAATGTGCAACTAGCTCAGCTATCATTTTCTAAAGTAGAGTGAACTGTTGAATTTTGAGATGGATATGAACCGAAATTATGGTTTCTCCATAGTAATTCCCATATAAACTTAAAATGGTTTGTGCCAAGTCTGTTTCTCAATAAATGAGTTCAAATTTTGGGAGGCTAATCAGGGCCCAATTTGGAACCGTTTGAGCACTGTGGAGCGGAAATTTCAAATTTTGCATCAGTCGAATGAACAGTCATAATATCATAGCTGCAAAAAGTGTGGCGATGCTACCGACAAGCTCGTTTCACGGCAAGGGGACAGGCGTGCTGTGTCACAGCATCGATACGCTTTATGCAGGTTTTGTATCATGACAGTTAAAACAATTGTATGTCAAAGTTAATTTAACCGATGTCGAGTACCGTAGAGCCCCGTTAGTTTGAATAGCTTAAATGACAATTAAACGTATAGGGGTACTGTAATGTTCTGATTTTGATGGATTTTTTCTCGTTCAGTGTACATCTGCTATAAAATAATAATGTATTGATTACAACTACTATGTGGTTGTCAAAGAGCGTAACGCATGAAGCAGATATAAAAGATTAAAGTGGCCATAGAAAAGTCTCTTTTGGCAATCTGACAGCAAACTAAACACGAGTGCTTTTACAGCCTGTATAAAGAAATATCTCGTTAAAGTTCTCTCATATTAAGTGATACCCCGTTGGTACCTCAACTCGGTTGTTTGTCCCCCACTGGATTTTACAGGTACCAGTAAAAAAATATTTCAAATGAGCGCCGTGTAATTGCCATTTAAGCTGTTCAAACTAACGGGGTTCTACGGTAATTGTACTAGAACAGTACGCTTCAGAACAATGGAACCAACTAAAATCTTGCCGCCAAAATGAATTATGCATCTCTGTTGTTTTTATACCTTCGCTATATTTTCTAGTGAATTTTTTAATCCAAATGAAATAAAATATAAGCTAGTTCTTATGCTGCTGTCTAGAGTAAAATGGTACCAGACTACACACTCAGTTTCAAAATGCATGTACTATTTTTTACCGTAACATCATATGTTGGTTTATAAACGTGAGCCGATTCCTTGACCATTTGGCCACAATCCCAATTAATCATTTTGTTCGACCATTTCCACAGAGATGGCGCTGTTCCGCTGGTAGGAAGTAATGAAATTCCCCATATAGAAATTGAGAGAAGTGGGAATAATTCGCTTTCGGTGCATATTCAGGTCAAAAAAAGTGAACAACAACCTAAAGAAATTAATCAGGGACTATGTCGTTTAGTTTTTTCCCGGAAATTATTGTTAAACAAGCTACAATTGAAGAAAAATGATTTTTCCCCATACAGTTTTCCCTGATTTACTACCAGCTCCCAAAGAGCCAAAAAATTCAAATTTGAGAGAGAAAATTTGCTCTCACGGCCTCAATCTCTCAACATGCCATGTATTTTGTTGACACTCGATTTGTGATTTCCCTTTCACAGATTACAAAATAGAGTACCTGACACTACAAAACATGTCTGGTACCTCTATATATGCATTTGCTTTAACATTTGAAGTCGCTCCTTATTTACATATTCTGCGCTAAAGATACTTTATGCTTTGTCCCATACATAACATTCGGCGGGAAATTCTGTGAGGGGTGAGCTATTTTGAGTGCAGAATGTGTAAAAAAGGAGGGACTTCAAATAATAATCTAAATGCATATATAGAGGTACCAGACATGTTTTGCACTACAGTGTCCTCTGTGAGCAATTATAGGAAAACAGATTGTGTCTAGTTTCCGATAGATGTCACCGCAAACAACAGCTGTGACATCTGATGGAACATGAATGCACAAGCTTGACAAAATGATCAATTAAAGTAAATGGGTTCTGACTGCGTAAGGTCTGTGTTCGTGACAACGAAAGTGCATCGACGCGCCACCTGTTGCTCATCGGCCACATCTTAAAACCCCCTGTTGATCGACGGCAATAAACGCCCAAAAGGGAAATTCAGATTGGTAGCATGGCGTTATACCATCTTCCGCCGCGCCCTGATATAAAAGCCGAAGAGTGGCAGAACTGATCCTCTTTCGCTACACCGACGTCATCAATCATCATCATCAGTGAAGTGGAGAGTAATCAAAACAAACAGAAGAAAGTAGTGAAATTGAATTCAAACTGCCTCTTGTATCTTGTATCATCCTGAAATAACCTACTAATAGAAGAAGAAGTGAGTGATAAACTTTACCTGTCCGTGAACCGACCTTGAAGTCATCACAAATTCTCATATGCTGCTCGCTATGCTCCCGACATTTGATCCTTCGAGCCGGATTGCATCGAATTTCCGCTAGTCCGATAGTCCAGCGCCTAGCGAGCCGCCATCGCACATTCGCTATTGTGCCCGCTGAAGAATCGCTTCCTATCGCCATTGTCCCAGCTGAACAATCCTCTACGGAACGTCATCTACCGGCTTGGTTGCTGCCATTATCAAATACAAGGCAAATTAATTGCCTCAACAAGGTAATTAGGTTTCCAACTACTATTACTTTCTGTTTGTGTGCTACGCTGGTCCATTGTGCACAGATTTCGCTGCAATTTCGACCGAGCGCCGTATCAAGGCGCTAAAGATGCGGCTGAAGAGTCTAGTGACGTCACTGAACCTCATCAAGACCTTCGTAGACGACTACAATGAGGATACGCAGGCCGACGAAGTCCCTGTCCATCTTGAGAACCTGTTGTGGTCAGACTACAATACCGTCCAGGGCGAGCTGGAGACGCTCGATGAAGCTGCCATCGAGGTCCACCTAAAGGAGCGGACGTCGCTTGAGTCCGCTTATTATCATGTCAAGGGCTCCAGTTACACCAACTCACCCGTTTCCTAATCAATCAGAGACGCAATTCCTTTCGTTGGCATCGCAGGTGCGTTTGCCCGACGAAACTTCCCGTCTTCGATGGCAAACTGGAAAACTGGCTAAACTTCTACGATTTGTACGTGTCACTGGTCCACTCGGCGGTTGGTCTCTCGAATATCCAGAAGTTTTATAACCTCCGATCATCATTATCGAATACAGCTCTTCAACTCATCCAAACAATCCCAATATGAGCGAACAATTACCCGGTGGCATGGAACCTTCTGCTGGAACACTTCCAAAACCCTGCTCGGCTGAAGCAGGCGTACGTAGACACTCTCTTCGATTTCGCTTCTAGCAAAAGGAAAACGGCAACGGAACTCCACAGTCTGGTGGATAAGTTCAAGGCAAACGTCAAGGTTCTGCAGCAATTAGGTTGCTCATCCGTATGCTCAGCATTCGACTGGATCCGACGACAAGGCGAGATTGGGAGGAGTACTCTTCGACCAATCCAGCAATCACATTCAAGGACCTGACAATACATCCAGGCAAAGTCCATCGAAGCTCAACCGTCGACCATTCAGAAGAAGCCAGTCAGCGATCCGTCTCGAGCCACGGAGCCAACCAGGTCATTCTTCGGAAGTGTGTCGTCTGCTCAGACCATCACCATTTGTTTTGGACTCAGGAAGTGAATGCTGCTTCATCACGGAATCTATCTTCCAATCTCAGGAATCGGACA